AAAGAAAATCTGAAGCTCCTATGCTTAGTAGTTTTTGAGCAATAACCCTTTTTGTATGTCCAGATTCCCCTTTTTCAGATAAATTAGGGGTCCAGGGGGGTGAGGGGCACTGATTGGTGGGCCTGATGGATAGAGCTTCATCAGAGCTAAACAACAAAAGACGTTTGAAGCTCCAATGTTGAACATTTTCTGAGTTATAAGCATTTTTGCATGTCCTGACACCCCGTCTTTGAAAGGAGCCCCCCTCCTCAAATATGGGGTCTGTCATAAAACCGTTGGCTGGCGCAGTGTAGGTCAGACTCATCTACAGCCCTGCCAAATTTCATGTTGATTGGTGCAGCTGTTTTTGTGCTACAGTTGACCAAAAATCTCTGGAGAAAAAAAACAGTACGAAAACAATATGACTCCTGCTTACGCTTCGCGTGTGGGGGTCGTAATAATAATAAGACTCCTGAAGCAACCAGCAGGTACAGGATGAGCTGCTGCTTCTGTGGTTGTGGAAGCAAAAACTCAAACATGGGACAAATGCAAAGAGGTCATGGAGAAGGATTGCTGGTTGGTCCCAAAGAGGTTCCTGCAAACCTTTCAATGAATCATTTACTGTATTTACTCTTTAGAAAAAAGGATGCCAGATCTCAGTAACAGTTTACCATTTTGCCCCATTCCACCTTGTTTCAGATCCAAAGATGGCAGCAGCAGTCCTGGACCATGTTCTATTTTATCTGCTTTTATTATAGAATGCAACAAAGAACTGAGTCAAACCTCTGAAACTCCTTCAGCATAAACAGTGATTACCATGACTGTTCATATCATGTGAGATCATGTACGATCAGTATGCTGCAATAAAAAAACTGTTTTTTTGCAGGTACAAGTGAATCAGATGACGTGTTATCACAGAAAGTAAACGTCTTAACTCACCAAGGAAGGAGGTAATAAAAGATTAAGGTGCAGTTTTTTGACTTTGAGGAGATTTTTAGAAAAGATTTAAAATATTCTTAAAGCAAAGCTGCTTCTTAAAGTACCTGTGACATATATATCCTTCAAATACAAAAACGTTTTATACTTAAGAAAATTGGCATAAAATACATGATTTTACCTATTTTGTCACATAACTGGCCTATTTTCGTTTAGATTTGGTTCAGCCAAAGTGAAACAGGAAGTGACATCAAAGGGGAACTCTAATAAAATAAACGCTGGTCTTTGTTTATTAAAACAAAGTTATTTAAACTTTAACTCTTCTTTATCTCTCTTTGATAGTGACTCAAAATAATCTAAAAAAACATCAGATTCTTCTCTACAGTCTGTGTTGTTAGCTGTTGTAGCAATGCTCTGTTCACATGCAGACATTCCCCTTTGACATCACTTCCTGTTACTTCACATGCAAATATCTCAACAACTGTTCATCTCGGGCGTGAAAATTGTTTTGCAATATGTTATCAATGCTATGTTATCAAAAATGCATTCATGTGTTTATTACAAAAATTTAATGTCACAGGCACTTTAAGCTAATTATGGGAACATAATTTCACATAGTAACTAATAATCAGTCATAAAAGTTGATTTGTTGTGGTTTGGTTGCATTTCTGAAACTTGTGTAGATCTCACTTTTTGTGTATGTTTTTTGTTTTTAAATCAAAGTATAAAACTTGTGTTTCAGTTTTAAGAAGGAAGCCTCAGTGGACGGTCTGGCTCAAGCTCAGGWTGACACTTTACAAAACACTGGAATGGTAAGCATTACATCATTTGTGCAGGGGTGTTGAAAGTATTCACATTCATTACTTAAGTACAGTAGAAGTATAGATACTAGGGTTTAAAAATACATTTTTGGAAGTAGAAGTATCAACTCAAACTTTTTACTCCAAGTAAAAGTATAAAAGTACTGGTTTTAAAACTACTTAAAGTATRAAAGCAAAAGTAATGAGCACTTTTAAAAAAGCCATTAACGATAAAAGCTTTGTGGACTTGGAGAAGGTGTTCGACCGTGTCCCTCGGGGACTCCTGTGGGAGGTACTCCGGGAGTATGGGGTACCAGGCCCGTTGATAYGRGCTGTTAGGTCCCTGTATGACTGGTGCCAGAGCTTGGTCCGCATTGCCGGTAGTAAGTCGAACTCGTTTCCGGTGAGAGTTGGACTCCGCCAGTGTTGCTCTTTGTCACCGATTCTGTTCATAACTTTTATGGACAGAATTTCTAGGTGCAGCCAAGGTGTTGAGGAGATCCTTTGTGGTGACCTTAGCATCTCAGCTTTTTGCAGATGATGTGGTCCTATTGGCTTCATCAGATCATGATCTCCAGCTCTCATGGGAGCTGTTCGCAGCCGAGTTTGAAGCGGCCGGGATGAGGATCAGCGCCTCAAAAGCCGAGACCATGGTCTTGAGCCAGAAAAGGGTAGGGTGCCTTCTCTGGGTCGGGGAGGAAGTCCTGCCCCAAGTGGAGGAGTTTAAATATCTCGGGGTCTTGTTCACGAATGAGGGAAGAATGGAGCGGGAGATCGACAGGCAGATTGGTGCTGCGTCTGCAGTGATGTGGGCGTTGTACCGGTCTGTCGTGGTGAAGCGAGAGCTGAGCCAGAAGGCAAAGCTCTCTGTTTACCAATCGGTCTTCGTTCCTACCCTCATCTATGGTCACGAGCTTTGGATAGTGACCGAAAGAACGAGATCGTGGATACAAGCCACCGAAATGAGTTTCCTCCGCAGGGTGTCTGGGCTCTCCCTTAGAGATAAGGTTAGAAGCTCAGTCATCTGGGAGGGGCTCAGAGTAGAGCCGATGCTCCTCCACATCGAGAGGAGCCAGTTGAGGTGGCTCGGGCATCTGGTTAGGATGCCTCCTGGACACCTCCCTGGTGAGGTGTTTCGGGCACGTCCCACYGGGAGGAGACCCAGAGGAAGACCCAGGACACACTGGAGGGACTATGTTTCTCAGCTGGCCTGGGAACGCCTTGGGATTCCCCCTGATGAGCTGGCCCAAGTAGCTGTGTGAAACTGACACCCCACCCACACAAAAAATCCAAACAAGTAAGCGGATTGGTTAGTGCTTCGTTTGTGCAGGTTTGTGCAGCTAAAACGAGCGTTTGTGCTGTTGTAGTTTTTGAGATATTAAGCATTATGTCTTTAGCTCATTATGACGTCACCATCCCCCCAGCAACCTCCGAAATTAACCAAAACAGTATACTTTTTTTGGGCTTTGTTTGTGCAGCTTAGTGCAGTAGAAATGAGCGTTTGTGCTGTTACAGTTTTTGAGATATTACAAGTTTTTACTTTAACGCGATGACATCATCGTCCCCCCAGCACGCTCCGAAATAGTGACGTCATCGGCCGAAATTATAACTGCTAATATCTCGAAAACAAAAGCTGCACAAACGACAGTTTTTACTGCACAAACCTGCACAAACGGAGCACTAACGACCTAGCCCACTTTGGTTAGGTTTTGGAGCGATATGGGGTGATGGTTAACTCTGGATGACCAAAAAAAATAATATTTAATATCTCGGAAACCAAAACGGCACAAACGACACTTTGAACGGCACAAACCTGCACAAACGGAGCACTAACGATTCTGACTATTTGATGGATTTTTTGACGTGGGTGGGGTGTCAGCTTCACACAGCTGGCCCAAGTGTCTGGAGAGAGGGAAGTCTGGGTCTCTCTGCTCAGGATGCTGCCCTCGCGACCCAGCCCCAGATGAGAAGAAGAAAACAAAACCTGTTGTAAAAGTGTTTTTAATAAAAATCTGGACAAGTTTGTCAGAGGAAAATGGTGGTCAGTTCTCATGGCTAGGGGCGTGTCACTTGCAGATTAATTTCAGTTGTCAGTTGGTGGTTTGATTGACGGGTCATATTGTGTCAATCACATTTTTGTCCATGTTCATGGTAGCAGGCAATAAATAATGGATCTTACTGATAATTAAACAAATGTGGTCCTTTTGTATTAGTCTTTTCTTTTAAATGACTGTGTGTTTGTGTGTGTGTGTTCGTTTGTGTGTGTGTACAAAGGGTGAAAGTCCAGCTTCCTCCCGCAGCTCCTCACCAAAGTTAGATTGGATGATTAAAAGGGGAATGGTGGGTCTCACTTCAGAGTAAACGTGTCCAAGCATCACCTCAACTGCTCGACCTGTTCCTCACGCTGTGATCTGGGTTGTTTTTGCTTGGATTTCTTTTGGAGTTTAGTGGTTGCAGATAAATCGCAGTGGTCTGCATGCTGGTTTGGGAATATCAGAGCATGTTTGGTTTGTTTTCATGTGACGTTGTTGGCATACGAAATATTCTCTGCACTTACTTTTTCTGTGGCAACGTGATTTGGGCGGAGATTTATGCTTGTTTGTTTTTGCTGTTTTGGTGGCATGTTGTTATTAGTATTTTTATTGTTTAACTTCAATAACCAAGCCTTGCATTTGTTTAGATTCCCATCACTCAATCGAATGTCATGGATGACATTGAGAAATGGCTTGCTTTGGATGATGAGGTAAGTGGATTACTAGAGGGATTTTAATAATCACATTATTCATTATTCAGGTTCAGGTTAATGTTACTCTGTAAGCTAGCAGGTATCAAAGTTTACAATTAAAGTTCAACATCTGATTTCCAGATAAGGTCAAAGGTTCAGARCAACTATCATATAACTAATTATTTTTTCTCAAATTTGGTTACAACTATACTAAATTGTGCTGTTTGCCTTCAGTTGTTTGTGAACCTAACCTGCTCTCTAACATTTGACTTTAAAACTTGATGTGTTCAGAATTTTTACCTAGAAAGTGACAAACCTAATTACTTTTTTGCCTTTTTGTTTTCACACAAGGATAAATAAATATTAAATAAACTGGTAAATTTTGATAAAGACACAGACAGAGGACACTGGTCTCACTCAGGTCTGCAGAAATGCACTTGAACACGTTTTAGCCATTAGCTCAGAGGTCCACAACCCTGCTCTTCTGGGCCCAGATGGCCTAGATGCACTTATTTGTCAGTAAATCACATATTACACAACCACACTGGTGCCAGATTTGAGAAATATTTCTTTAATTATTTAAACCTTGACTACATTCAACAACATTCACAACTACACACATAAATTTACATAAACTAAAATGTTTTTGTTTGTTTCATGTGATGCAGTACGAGGACTTTGAGGACTCAGATGGTGTGACCAGTGAAGGTGAAGATGTTTACATTTTGTTAGAATAACTAACTTTATTCTTCCATCTTTTTAAGTAGGGTGCATGTTCATGATTTATTTTATGAAACTGGTAAATAAAATTAAAAAAAAACTTTGTGTGCTGTAAGCTAAGTATACAGTTGACCAGCAGATGGCGGTAGAGACATCACTGAATGTAAGGTGCTTCTTGTGCTCTTTTGCTTCTCAAATCTGGTTCTACACACATTCTTTCCTTATTTTGTTGGGTTTTTGTTTCAGGGTACTGCCAGCCTCGCAGAAGAAAAAACTCTGCTCTGAACCCTAATCTTGTTAAATAATGACGTTTTTTTATACTTCAACATCTATATAAAAAAACATCACTAAAGCACAGATACTCAGAGGGTTGATTTTAACTCCTGCAGATATGAACTGATTTTCATTCAGTTCCTGATTTGTTCAGATTTTTGTCTCTATTTTAAATCTGTACAGTAACTGACCTCTAAATGCCTTAAAACTAAATCCTGTTTGTGTCTCTCCGCAGAGTTTGACCGTTTTTTGGCAGAAAGAGCAAAAGCAGCCGAGCGCCTGCCGTCTCTGCGAGCCTCTTCACAAGACCTCCACTCCTCTGAGTCCTAATCTGATAAACCTGACGAACTAACACAACTCACGAAGCCCTGGCACCGTTGGCTTTGATGTTGATGGACGGTCGAGCAGAACATGTGTCCAAATCGCATCTTGTAATAGAGGAACCACCTTATACCTGTTTGTGTAATCTGTACTAGAGAGGAAAGATATTTTTAACTGGAAGAAAATGAGAGTATCTGCTGAAGGACAGATGTTTTTATCTGACAGTAGTACGAGGGTATGTATGTGAACAAACTTTTGCACATTTTATATGGCTACATTCCTGCTGTAGAAGGAAAAAAAGAATATTGTTACAACTTTGCAACTTTTCTTATGTGTTACACTGCTGTTAATGTGTATATATGTTGGTAATGTGAAATGTAAAAGAAAAAGGCACAAGATTCACTGTAAGAGAAGCTCAGATGTAACAYACTGTAAGAGTTTACGTTCATATTGTTTGATGTGGAAGAAAGACTATTTTTACTTCCAAGTCTCCCATTTAAAGTGTTTTACTTGAAGTTTGATAGAAAGTCATGACAAGCTGCTCTCAAATATTAAACTATTAACTGTAAAGCTTAAAATTTCTTCAAATGTGTTTTGAACTTCTTGCTATGAGACGACGTGATTCACAACGCTGCAATCGCTATCGCATCCCGTGTGTCAGGTTTCACCCTGGTTGCGATGACAGCCGTTAATCGCTGTAGTTTGTCGCCTCCCGTGTGGAGCCCTTCACCAGGGGAGGAGCCACAGACAAATCTTTGGCCACCCTGCTGTGCACACCCCTTCCACAGTGAAACAACCTTTAGGGGTGTAATAATCCTCCTGAACAGTTGGTGGCAGTGTTTAACAGTTTGAAAYATCACCAAGCTCAAAGAAGTGACAAAAAAGTTATTGTTTCCTTTATATACAGAACATATACCCATGTAATCTGACTTATGGTGACAAATGTTTTTATTGTTTTGTCATCATAACAGTCATTTTATGTTATGAAGGCTGCATAATGCTCTGTCCCTTTTGGTTATGAGTAGACTTATCACTAAACCAGAAAAAGTGAAATGCCCCTTTAAATTCACTGTTGGTGATTATCGATATTGCACCTGTTCATTGGGTAAAGTTATTAATATTAGTTTTAAACATGCAGTTGAAGGTCATCATGATTTGGCACAATGACGTGTTAAAATTAAAAATAAATCAATAAACAATATAAAAGTAAAAGGCACCCCTAAAGTCATTTGATATGATAAATGTGACACATTAATTAACCTTATCTCAGCTGTAGCAGTGAGTTTAAAAACGGCATAATGAAACTAGTTTAATGTCTGAAATTATTATTAAATCAAGTGTTTATTTATGTAGGTAAACTTGTGTTTAACAGCCTGGTAAAATACACAAGAATGCAGGGAAAGGCATCTATTTCATTCAAAATTTTCTGGGAGAGGACCCCCAGACCCCCCACCAGTCTGTCCCCTCACTTTTAAAATGGTTCAGACACCCATGTTTATAAGGTCACTACCTGTATACGGACATAAGGAAATGACCAAAACACAAAGATCTGCAGAAACTTTCAAGTAAAAATATTGTGTAATTTTCCTGGCCACCCCTGAGTGAGTAGTGGTCCCCGTATGGCCACCCCTGTGTGAGTAGTGGTCCCCGTATGGCCACCCCTGTGTGAGTAGTGGTCCCCGTATGGCCACCCCTGTGTGAGTAGTGGTCCCCGTATGGCCACCCCTGAGTGAGTAGTGGTCCCCGTATGGCCACCCCTGAGAAAAATGTCTGGCTCCGCCCCTGCCCTTCACTAGTCGATCGCGAGACTTGTAGAACGCAGCATTACGTTCCAGCCTTGAAAGCAATTAGGTATAGTTACCTTATATAAATAAATATATAAGTAAATATACCTCATTGCTTGAAAGCCCCCCCCCCCCACACACACACACACACACACCAGTTCCCAGGGTTCATTCAGTCTTGCGAGTTTTGTGTGTGGTGACACAGCACTCAGATCTCACGAGACTTTAGGTTCACATGTTCAAAACAAAGCGGAGTAGTAGGAGAGTTGTTGGTTACTAGTGTGGAAAAACATGGACGAAAAACGAGTGAACAAGCAAAGGAAATTTTATTATTTTCACCCGGAGTGGGAGGGAGGAGTACTTTTTTGTTTTTTCTAATTTGAAGTCTATTTGCCTCAGTAATAATTCGAGCGCTGCCTTATCCAAAAAGGGTAACTTGGAGCGGCATTTCAAGACGGTGCACAAACGGTACGAGACGGATTTCCCCTCCAAAAAGTTCTTTATGGACTCAGAAAGTGCAAGAGCTGAAAAACCATCTTGCAGCACAGCAGTCGTTTTTCACTCGGCCCAGCACAAAAGGTAAGGCTGCTGTGGCTACTCTGAAAAATGATTGAGCAAATACCGCACCAAATTTTGTATTAAAAATCTACGAAATGGACATTATGTTGGCTAATATAAACTGTGACAGTCTTGAATTTGGTGTAGGTGAATAAATCATTAGTTTTCGTAGTTTCATCCAATGAAGTAGTCAGTACCTACTCAGTTATTCGTCCAATCAGAAGTTTTAAAYCTCTGTTGCTATTATGACGGGGAGCACGATCAGTTCTGATTGGTGGAGATTACTTCACTAATGATTATTCTGATTGGACGAAATGCACCAATGGTCAGAAGTCTGATTGGTCCTTAGGACTTACGCCCTTTTTTTGTGTACGTGACGCAAACACGCTAACTCACTCGTGCCGATCCACGACTAAAAAAAGAAACTATTTTCGCCGTCATGTCTCTCGGAAWAACAGCCCGGAGTTTGATAAGACCGGTCCGCGGGTTCCTGGTGACTTCGGACTCGGTTCCGAAACGAAGCTTCGCGGCTGTCGCTGAAGCCAGAGCGCTGCTGGAGCACGAGCTGGACACGATCCGAACCGCAGGGACGTGGAAGGCGGAGAGGATCATCACCTCCAAACAGGGTCCTCAAATCAGTGTGCAAGGCAGCCGTGGCAGTGAGTTCATCCACTCTGTGGTTACACCACGACAGAGGAGAAACCGTGTGCTAAATTAAACATTAAAGTCTGAATCACTGTGGACAAAACTTCTTTTAATTAAGTAATATAATGTGAATATGTGTGGTGAAGTTTAAACAGACTAAAAGTGTCAAAACTGTCAGGATTAAACATCAGAATAAACAGTTATCTAGTGTGCATTAACCTGCAAGTAACATCTAAACGCTGCAGCTGTCTGAAGAAACWCTTATTTTAATATTGTCACGTGGCTTTCTGTTTAATGGACAACTTTTATATTTCTTACATTGTTTCTTTGTGACAGCTTTTAAAAGACAGATTTTTATCTCTTATATAAATGTAACAGAACATTTCCCACCTCCTGCACCAGTAAACTGAATAAAATATGTAAATATAAATAATGTAGGACATATTATGCTATTTGTTTATATTGATGCATATTATTACCAGTTCATTATCACCTGCCTCCGTAGGTAATAGGCAGTAATGTTGTCTGTTAGCAAAATATTCCATTCACCATTGGGTGGGTTTCAATAAAATGTGCTGAATCTAATTATTAGTACATCTACAACTCATTATAAAGTCAGCAAGTTAAGATGGCTGCTCAGCTGTCCTTGAGAAACAAAAATGCTCAACTCAGCCCATTATAGAGGGACTGGTGTAAAATTTGTTTCAGTAAAATTTAAAATTGTAATGAAATTCTTGGAAAGTAATCATCAGGTGGATATGTATACAACTAATTACTTATGGAGTCAACTTGATTCATTAAGGCCAACACTTCTGATCAACTAGCACTACTTTTGAGCTAAAGTTTGTTGTGGAAGTAGCTGAGAGTCATTACCAGCACATGCTTTGAGCACCGACACAAGGTCTCACATTAACACAGATTGTGTATAACGGTAGAGTTTCCGTTATATTATGCAAGGAGGGCGCCCCGCCCTGTTAACAGAACCACAGGACCCCCACACCCTCCYCAGTCTGACCAGCACCCTGCCAATAGCAGTAATGTAAGGGAAACACTGATAACTGTGTTTTAAGGTTTGAACAAAACGACTGCAACTCYATCCTGTATAAAAGGATGCAGAGTTCTGTTTTATTTTATTTTTTTGTCTGTTTGCTAAAAGACTGGAGTTGCTTTCTCTTTTTATGGTCTTACTGTTTTTTGGGGGGTTTTTTTGGGTTATTTTTAAAGCAGGACAAAAACTTGAATTAAAAAGAATAATACTATTTTTTGTGCGTCTCAGCTACACTGAATTTCTGTGCCAACAACTACCTGGGCCTGTCCAGCCACCCAGAGGTGGTGCAGGCAGGAATCGACGCTCTGAAGTCCCACGGTGCCGGACTGAGCTCTGTCCGATTCATCTGTGGGACACAGGCAAGACCCTTTTAAAACTACATTTCAACTCAGAACTGCTAAAGCTGTAGCACTGGTCAAGTTTCCTTTGCTACGCGTTCTTGTTTTTGCAGGATCTGCATAAAAATCTGGAGCAGAAACTTGCAGAGTTTCACGAGCGAGAGGACTGCATCCTYTACGCCAGCTGTTTCGACGCAAACGCCGGGTTGTTCGAAGTACGGCGACGTCTCCGCTCCGCAAAAATGCCTTTGTGTTTTAATGTGAGAGGAGCATTAAACGTCTTTCATGGTAGGTGCTGCTGGGCCCGGATGACGCGGTTCTGTCGGACGAGCTCAACCAYGCCTCCATCATTGACGGGATYCGCCTGTGTCGAGCAAAGAGGCTGCGCTACAAACACATGGACCTSAAGGATCTGGAGGACAAGCTCCGAGAGGCTCAGGTGAGTGGCTGCTCTGGTGCAAAATCTTTTCTGAACCACTGAGGGTTCGTTTTGGTGAARTTGCTGTGGTTTCCTCCTCAGTCCTCTCGCATGCGTCTAGTAGTGACTGATGGGGTTTTTTCCATGGACGGAGATGTGGCCCCCCTGCCTGGGATCTGTGACCTCGCAGAACAGTACGGGGCCATGGTTTTCATAGACCAGTGTCACGCCACTGGTTTCCTGGGAGCCAGAGGCAGGTATAAGATCTACGTTTAACTTTTTTTTTTTCTTAGAATTTTTTACACGTAGCAGCTCCTCTTAGTCAGTAAAATTAGCTGCCTCACTCTGATGTTGATGCCTGAAGTTTAAACAGATTTTCCTTGTGTGTAGAACATAGTGATTACATGAACTTTTAAATGATTGATTAATTAATTAGTTAATTAATTAGGTAATTTATTAGGACAGTGCACATTAATCAACATTACCACAATACTGTACATGGCAGTGTAAATATGCAAGAGTTAGCACAGCAGCTAAATTTCATCCCTGGTCCACAAGTAAGCACAAAACAGAACACCTCACTATACAATTCATATAACAGTACAAAAAAAACTAACAGATTAAAAAAAGATAGATAGATAGATAGATAGATAGATAGATAGATAGATAGATAGATAGATAGATAGATAGATAGATAGATAGATAGATAGATAAAAAAGAAAATTGAAAACGAGAAGGGAAAAAACACACTCAGCAATAGGTAATGGAAGACATTATGAATGACTGATTTGCTTTCAATGCTTAAGCTTCTTTTTAAAATTGGAATAGTTTYCACTGTCTCTGATATATGTTGGCAAACTATTCGATGAATGTGCACTTCTGATGGATGCCACCTTCTGGCTAAACTGAATTCTGTGCCTCAATATATTACAGTCTCCTCTAGTTTTATGATGACTTCAGTCAAGAAACCTTTGTAATAAAGTTTTTTGAATAAATCATTGTAATAAAGCTGTGTTTGATTAAAGTCATGTTTTGTCTGATGTGGAACAGAGGAACAGACGAGCTGCTGGGAGTGATGGACAGAGTTCATATTGTGAACTCCACTCTGGGGAAAGCTCTGGGAGGAGCAGCTGGTACGTTTCTCTCTGATGTTCAGCTAAAACAGAGGTCCTCCCTACAAGTACACAGTGCTCCCAGACATTTGAAAAAGCTAAAACATTAACTTTATTATAATCAAATGCAATAAACAATCCAGGAAATAGTTGGGGTGTAAGAAAATATCGATACACTGAAATATCGCAATATTTCATTTCCCGATACTGTATCGA